GCTGCTCCCCTCAGCAGTCTGTTCTGCTCCCCACTGTGTCTCTGATGGATCCTCTCACCACCCCTATATCTCTGGTCTGTACTCCAGTTCTGTATAGATAAAAAAATCATTTTAAAAATATTAAAAGTGTTTTTACATATAATATTTTATGAGTTATAAATGATAGTGATTGTCAGTGTTGAAATTATTTTAATATAAAATAATTATGTTTCAGGATAGTACAGTGACCAAATTAGGATATTTGTGTTAGTGAACTATATCAAGATACTGCTTTAGTATATCAAAATAACTATATCAAATAACCATATCAAAATAATGATTTAGTTTGGTGAACTAAATCATCCCCAAACTCAGGAATATGCAAGTTATTTATCTCGATGCCCTGGGTCTGCAGGAGAGCCGTGGTTTAGCTGGTTGAAAGGGGGCCCTTGGCCCTCCCTGATGGTGCAGCGGGTTAAAGCACTGCACTAAGAAGCTCAAGCCACTTCTACATGAGTTCAATCCCTGTCTGCCCCAAGGAGATCCACATGGCGAGGCAGACTTCTCCTGACCCGCCGGCTGCTCCCCTCAGCAGTGTACTTCATCTCTCTGCCTGTTCTGCCCCCCTCTCTGTGTGTGGTGAATCCTCTCACCATCCCTGTACCTCTGGCCTGTACCCAGTTCTGTATCCATAAATAAATAAATCTTAAAAAAAAAGAAAGAAAGGGGGCCCAAGTGGGTGACATGCCTATGAACTGAGGACTGACTGGTCTTCCATTTAAGCTTGTGAACTGAAAGCTGGTCTGCTCTCTATATAATTTTTTTTTTCAAAGGACTTGGGCTAAAGAGGCATTATCTACCTAGGCTGCACTCTTCTTACAGTTGTCCCAGGAGTGAAGGGGGCCAAGCCAAACTGTTCAAGTATACATAAGATTTTATAAATAACTGTATCAACAGTTGTAACTGTGGATATACCACTGCCAGGCAAGTTATCTGGCCTGGTTCAATATTAAATGCCGCTTGTTAGCAGGCTGCACCCATAAAATAAGAAGAGGGTGATATTAAGTAATCCAAGTCCTCACAGGATTCAAGAATTTTCATTATCTTATACAAGCTATTAAAAATAGTTCATGCATGGCCCTCCCTGGTGGCGCAGCGGGTTAAAGCACAGCACTGAGAAGCTAAAGCCACTACCGCATGAGTTCGATTCCCGCCTGCCCCGGAGGTGACCACATGGTGTGGCAGACCTCTCCTGACCCGCCCGCTGCTCCCCTCAGCAGTGTACTTCATCGATCTGCCTGTTCTGAATGCTCCCCACTCTGTCTCTGGTGAAGCCTCTCCCCGCCCCTGAGCCTCTAGCCTGTACCCCAGTTCTGTATGAACAAATAAATAAATCTTTAAAAAAAAATAGTTGATGCATGGCGAAGATAGTGGAAAAGAAGGGAGCATGAAAAACCTTGGTTAATTATACAAGTCTATCTGTCAGGAAAGTGTTCATTTTGGTGGGAGTGGGGGTGGATTTCTGAAGATTTTAAAGTATGTTAAATTCAATGTAATACTTACACAACTGAAATAATCTAACAACAAACTGATATCACAGAATCTATATTTCTCTTCATGAAGTACCAAGTTCAAAAGTACAATTAAAAACTTGTTATTTTACTAAATCTTCTAATTCTACTGCAATTTTGTTTGCTAGACATGTTAGAAAGTAAGAGAAATGCTCTGTGTTAACTAAGTTTTATCAGAATCTTCTTGTATTTATAAAATCTTTTGTTTTATGTATTTCAGCATCATATTATCTGTATCCTAAGTGATAGATATTGTCTCACTTTATTTTTTATCTGCCAGTCTCCTTTGCTTGATATTTTGTTACACCTGTTAAATTTGCTGTATATATATTGAAGCTGTCTGTAACGGCCAGAGAAACAGGACAGTGAAGACCGGTTTGGGACATCCAGGTGTATCATAGTCATATAAAATAGGACAGACTCCTAAGCAACATCTGAATCATGTGGTAGAAGAGACATTGGGTCTAATGTCAGAGTAATCAAGAATCTAAATGGAAATTATAAAAATATCCCAATGACAAGCAATTGAAATTAAAAATAATTTTTAAATGTATGAGTTTGATTTTTTTTTTCTTTCCACATGTTAAAAATGTAGTAAATAGGTGTTAATACATAGTATAGCCAAGCAGGGCTTCTTCCTAGAGAGCAGAATCAAGCTGATCACAAAGATAGGCCTCTGAAGACTATCCTTAAAGTTATTTTTTAAAGATTTATTTGTGCATACATACAGAACTGGGGTACAAGCCAGAGGTACAAGGGTGAAAGAATTCACCAGAAACAGAGTAGGGAAAAGGACAGGCAGATGTACTGAAAAACACTACTGAGGGGAGTAGCAGGCAGGTCAGGAGAGGTCTGCCACACCATGTGGGTCACCTCCCTGGCCAGGGATCAAACTCATGCTGCAGTGGCTACAATAACTCCATAGTGTTGTGCTTTAACTCACTGTGCCACCAGGGAGATCTGTATCCTTAAAATTAATTAACTAAAGCTATAACTAAAGAATGATATTTGAATCAAATTTATTTGATTTTTAAATTGTAGATGAAGTCTATAGAAGGCAGAAAAAATATCTTCAACTCTAGACTATTCTACTGATAGAATTACCTAAACTAAAACAAAGAGTCATACATATACATTTCAGATAGCATGAATTTCAACAATATTTAAGTCATAAGCATTATGTGTTGGCATAGTATATTATCATAAGCATAGCTATTACATGCAATATGAATAAGTTCTTCAGTGCTGATTTCCATATAATCAGCATTATAAAATTTTTGAGATCTAAAATATTTCTGCAGAATTGATCTCCAGTCTAACCTAGGATTTTGTTCTTTAAAATAATCATATATTCTTTTGTACAAATTCTTTTTCTTAATGAGTTTTATTTACGCATACAAAAACTGGGGTGTAGGCCAGTTATACGGGGAGGTGAGAGAATTCACCGAGACAGAGTGGGTCCCAGAACAGGAGGATCTACTGAAAAACACTGCTAATGGGAACAGTGGGTGTGAGACGAGAGGTCTGCTGCACCACAGGGGGTCACTCCCTGGCCAGGGTTGGGACTCATGTAGCAGTGGCTGGTGTTGGTGTGATAGGTCTGAGACTTTAACCCCTGCACCACTAAGAATGCCCTTTATAAATTCTACAAAAGAACATTTGCCATTCGATAGCTCTCACTTTAAAATACTTATGGTTAAATATACTTTCTGTGTTATTTTTATCTTATGCATTAGAAAATAATAATAATAAAAACAGCATGACACCATTTTACTGTAATTCTTCCAGCAGACTAAATGTAAAATCTTATTATGAGAGTGAATAATGATGTATTTCACTTCATTCTCATTTCAATAACCAAGTGGGAAAACAGGAAGATCTATTAAAAGGACCATGTGCTGACCAAATACTAATGAGAAATTTTTGAGTCACTAGCTGTCATGGTAACAAGGCATTATCCAAATCTGATTAAGATGCCCAATAGCTACACAACTGGTTAAGTTTACATCTCTGCTTATGAGATGAGTTTAAATCCTTAAGAGGCAATAGAGTGTTGTGGCTCTATTTATCTATATCCCAGATATGGAATGCCCACATATCAAAAATGAAGTTCAAACATTTAGTGCTAAAGATACATTACACTGTGAGAAGCTTTCAAATTAATAAAAAAAAAATCAGTTTACTTTTCTCATAATTCATAAACTTCTGACCCAGTGTTAATTCATTTCAACTAATTTCATTGATATTCATAGCAAGAATAAGACTAAGATGGCTAAAACTGGGGGAAATTTTATGAAAATTTGGAAATCTGCAATGTGGCCTCCTAAGAACAAAATTGTCCAATGATCTGGTTCAGAAATTACATCAAGAATAATCAATCTCCAAGAGTAGACCAGAGAGGTAAAAAGAGTAGAGACGAAGAGTATTTGCAAATGTTTGCAAATATAATGGTGAATGAGGAAAGCAGTCAGGATTGGGGGTAGGAACTATAGGCAGCTTTCTGTCCACCAGAGGTAGTAAATTGATGTGCTCTACAAAGTTCTTCCTTCTGAGGCACTGATCCTGAGTTTGAAATTCAGTGAATTCTGAAAATTACAAGGTTCAGTTCTTTCAGTTAAGTTATGTCCTTTCTAATATCTTGAGTGTCACTGATATTTTAAAGAAACTGATCACTACCGCCTGATCCTTTTTGGTAGATAACTAAATTCTAAAAACAAAACTTGCAAGATTAACAGAGGCAAAGTAAACATGGTCATGCATTATTGACTAGAAATCTGTGTGCCTTGTCAGAGCTTGTGAATACAAGGAACATTAATAATACTTGTCCTGGAAAGCTTATTACTCTTGCTAAATGCATCAGCATGTAGACTGAGTTTTACATGTACCACGTATCAAACTCAATCAATCTAAAGTCAATATAATGAAAGCCAAAAGAGCATTTATCTACACATTTTGAAATTCAGGAGAAGGCTGCAGAGACCAAAGTGTCATCAAAGTATAAAGTTTTATTTACATGAGAAGAATAAATTCTAGATACCTACTGTACAGAACATGACTTAGAATTTATACTTTAAATACTTTAATATC